GACATGCTTTCACTACGGATATTCTCATATCTCTGACCAAAGGAATGTCCCGAAGTCACACAGGATGAAGTTAAGCTTTCGTGCATACGCTCATGTCAGACAGAGGCGGCAAAGAAAAGCGATGGCGTGTCGCTTTGATAATTCGCCGAGCGAGCCAAAGGACCGAGACACAGCAACTTTTCCAATAAATGAGCTTTGGGATCTTTCGGACACGACGGCACAGGATGGCCGGCAAAAAGAGAGCCTCACGCGAGCGGAACGCAGCTAGCGTAATGACGAACTCCGTTTACGGCGGCAATCTCCACGTAGAAATAGATCGGCGGCTCGGTTCGGTCGCACGTGTTTGTCGCGCCTTTGATCGTTTCACGCAAGATCGGATTCCTGGTACCGACACACGTACGCCGGCTTGCCGGCCACCATGCACATGACAGGCCGTGGAACCCGGTCAGACATAGTATACGCGACGTCATAAGCAGCTGCATTCTATTTTCCGAAAGTTCGTCAGAATGCGAGGGACAACGGGGTGTTTCGGGGGGAGAATTCTCACACGAAGACGCGACTTAGTCGATATATCTAATCAAAACTTTTCTGCAATTTCAGATTCTGGTGTAAAGAGCAACTACGCCGGGAGCTACGTCTAGGGAGAGGGTGAGTCCAAAATTATCACTCTTGACATATTTACATTATCGCGAGATATATACGTATAATTAGGAAAACACAAATAAGTTAACACGAGGTTCCCAAATACGATTATTTGGAAATGAATAACACAACGCTGCAAGTATTTGCAATCTAAATAGCCAAATGTTAGCAATGTTGGCAGATTTACAGTAAATTTGATCAACATTGCTAACATTTTGGTTACTGAGAGTGAAAAATCGCTACAAATTTATACATAATTTTATATTATGCAACATAGTTTTTTGTGTTTTCTTAATTAAAAGCTCTGTGAAAAAAGAGACTGAGGATAATTATTATAATTATGTGTATTTACGCTGTTATTGTATCCAGCATTTACTAAAATTACTCTTCAAACAAAAATCACTAATTAAAAGTTCTGTGATTAACAACTCCAGTTTACTAATTACCGAAAATGACAGCTATTAGCCATCGTTACATCTACATTTTTTAGGTAATTTTAATACACATTCATTAAAAGTTAAAGTGTATAAAAAATCCTTAATATTTATTCGTTGTTTTAGTAAAAATCAAAGACGCATATGTGTGTGTAGGTACAACATTAAATTTTTTACAGTATCAGAAGCGCGATAATATTACAAAGCATTAAAACGCATTTGATTTCTCTGAGAAATTCCATAAAAAATTCCTCATGTTTCCGATAGTTCATTAATCTAGAAAAATATATCACAGCGCTTGTAGGGTTTACTCGTGGTCGAACGATCGCTTAATTAAAAGCGGCTAATTATTAGCAGCGGCGCAACGTCGAATAACGTTGGTGATACAAAGGCAATATTCAAGCGCGCTCACGCAAACGGCTGCTTCAAATTAATTGCGCAATAATTACTAAATAATATGTCATGCCGTGGTCAAACACGATGTATCATATTGTGAAGAATTTTAGTGTTATTAGATCTGTCTCTGTCCATCTTTCTCTTCGTTGCTTCTCTCTTTTAATATTACAAACATTGCTCGCTTATCATTAAATTCGCTATTTTCGGATTTAATTTGTAAAATCGCTTGCGTATAACGTTTTGTAATGTTATTATTTTTGATGTTGTAAAAAATTCAATATTTATCTACATCCCTCTTCGATTTAATTTGTAATAATTTTAACATATAGTTTTTAATAATGCAATAATTATGCGTGGCTATTTTACTGATTAATCCATTCATCAATTAGTTTCTCATTATTATATGGAATGCATTTAATTAAAAGTCTCAATTAACATAATTTCCATAATTCTAAAATAAATGCGCATAATGCGTTATGCGCCCAAAGATACGATGGAACAGATAATTAAACTGTATTGATCATATTGGAAGAAAAACTGTGCAGAAATGATTGCTGAAATAAAATTGATAAAATTTGCGCTTTACAGGCGTTCAATCAAAATGATACTTCACAGACAGTAATTTGACAAACTGAGCAATAAAAAAGTTGTCCGGAAAATTAAGTGCTAAAGTAACATTAACGTTACTCTATTCGGAAATAATAACATCACGCAGTAGGGTCGAAGGGTCCACACAGGCTTTAAATCCTGCCTCCGTGACGTTTCATCGCAAACAAGGGAGACAGGGTCCCTTGTCAAAGTAGAAGATGGTTCTCAATTTCTCTCTCCACGTAGCGGAAAAGATAGATTCACGGAGAGGGGGGTTGGTTTTTACCTGACAGCCTTAAAATTTACGAGTTTTACCAATATAGCTTCTCACTTCGTCCGCGTGACCGTCCTTCAAGGACAAGCGGCGAGGTTTGAATGACGACACAGGTATCCTCGGGCGCTCGAGGGTCTTTCGCGGGTGATTCTCCCCTATCTAGTCCTCGGTCTATTGTTTTTTTTATCAGGATCGCACAATCGCTCTCCGTCGCAAAAATCGTATAAAAATGAAGACCTTTCAACGACGCACCGCCACCCATTTTTGTTTGCCCTTCAAATAGCACTGATGCATTACTTAGTCTTCTCTCGCGGGGTTTGGAGGAGACACGTGGGGGACGCTCCCGAATGTTAATATATCCTATACATTTTAGCGTGTTTAAGTATCTATTAATAGCCGACCGAGAGTTATCGATCTTTTATATGGCTTAATAGAATGTCCCACGACAAACTGTATTTACAAATTTTCCAGACAATTTAGCCTGGAAAATTCAATGTTCTATTAAAAAAAGCTAAGATATAAATAGCCTACAATAAAAAAAATAGAAATTTTACTAAAAAATTATAAAATTCAAATTTTCTTTACTACAAAATACATGCATAGATCATCCTAGATATTTCAATCAATTTTCTTTTCAATATTATTTAATTTTAGCAGCGAATTCTGAATGGCATTCAATTGAATTTGTATCAAAAGAACTGTTACTCGCGTATCGATTTCGGTTTAGTTAGCCCTGATTTCTATTTCAGGCGCATTGTTAGCAATCCAAGGAGAGCGTCTTCACAATTAATCTACTTCCTTAAGTAATCACGCGAGAGATCCTTCTCGTGTTTTCCCCCTCTCTCGAATCTCGAGTGAGATATAGCGGCGCATCGGATATCTTCCAACAATATTGTATCATAAAACAGATGATGACTGATGGTGCGGCAAAATTCGAACGTCCGTGTGTGCGGCACGTGGCGTGCGCGTTCCACGTGGAGACATGTCCGTCCTTCGCTTAAGTACGGTGACACGATGTATCCGTTCGAAAACATATCGCGAGGAGTGAATGAAATCCTGATCGTTCGCCCGTTTGTATCTTCCGCGTGACACGATGTCGATATGGGACTGATACTGATCGAGAAGGTCGCGTCCTTAGCTTCCTTACCATCGGCTACATTAATATTCTATCTCATCTTTCCGTTAATGATTCACCTGAAACAGGAGAGCGACTGATCGACGATCGTTGCGAACCTGAGGCGCCTTTCTTAAAATTATCGGTGACAGGTGCGCGATAAGAAATAATGTCGTTTTAAAATTATCTTTCGTCTCGCATTATTTAATAACGACGATCGCTTTAATGATGAATAATGGCCATGATTACCGAGATATTCTTACAATTTTCCCGAAGAAGTATTATTCACAATCATATTTGTATCCTTTTTCAAATTAGATGTAATATTCAATTCTATTATGCTGCTAAATTTGTTTTCATTAATATTTTATGTCCGGCTCAATTTGAAGGTAAAAATAAATCATGCGCAAATGTCAAGAGATTATTCTTTATTCAGCAGAAAGAACAAACGTTATATAATTGAATATGTTATATAAATTGAATAGTTCAGTAGATCCATTCTATCGTGCTTGATTATTACTCAACAACCATTCAATTATCGTATCCACTGAATACACATTTATTAATCAAATGAGTTTAGTTGTTACAACGAATGCGATGAAATCTCTGAAGGGAACAAGCACACCTGTAGCGGCGCTTTAATGTATCGTATCATAACTTCATGCATATTTATTACGTGAATATATTATGATTGATATCTAATATCGATGATATCAAAAGGAATCACGCTAAAATTGTTGATATAAAAGGCATACGTGTCGCCGATTAAAATATGTTTTATTCGTGTCTCGTTTACGATTTTAGTTTTTGAGTGTCCTTTTTGAACACTCTAACTATTTATAGAATTGATTAGAAGATTGGCACTTATTCTTTTGCAAATTAAAATGACTTAGAAATATAAAAAGTAAAAGGAGAATAAATAGTAACTATTAAATAGTGACTATTTTTACGAATATTTAAACGGCTAAAAATTTTTCGAAAACATGCAAATTTTTTGAGAGTGAAAGAAAGAGAGAAAGAGAGAGAGAGAGAGAGGCTGATCCGACGATACTTTGTACTTACGTTTCGATGCACGCGACGAAAGAATGAAATTAGAACAATGTTCGCGTTTTCGAATACTCGAAACGCGGATTCCGAACACACGTTCACGTCTCTCTGTAAAACGGTTGACTGGCGCGTTGCAATTTCGGGTGCAATTTCGTTTCACCTCCTTTGTTTAATGCGCTGCGTATACATATACGGTGACGCTTTGTCGCGCCGCTAAGGTAACTCCGGATTGAGGGAGATTACACTATCGCCCTGCTCGCAGCATGCCGGGCGTACGCTATTTCGGCTTTTCGTCGCGTGCGCGAACAGAAAGCTCGGTATGCCGCAGTGAACTCTGGTAGAACGGCGCGCGATAGGGAAATCACGAACACGTATACGCGATGCAACGCGAATGGGTGTCTTTTACATTTATTTTTTGCAAAGAGACTCGACTTTTCTCCGCGGCGTTGCTCGTTTTTCTCCGTTTCCCCGTCCTTACGACGCTGCAATGGAAATTACGGCTGATAGGGAATACCTGCGGATGGCGCAGCTATTATTACGAACCTATTTTTTTTTTTTTTTCTAAAAATACCCGCTTTTCAAGCTCACATCAATTAGAGTCCCATCGGTGCATGTTTTGCGTGAGACGACTGCGTCGAGTTGCAAAGAAACTGCCGTAATCCGGTGAATAAAAATGCAAGAATTGTCGAGTGCGTGATATTTTGAATATTAAACGTATGTGAACGTATACGAAAATGTTATAAGACTATTATTTTTACACAAAAATGCGTAAATTAAATGGTATACGTAATCGATCGTGTTGCACAAAAACACTGTTTCTGTATAATAAATCGGATTTCCGTAATTTTCTACGTTACTTCTATGTCACGTAAGATTGCAATGTCATAGCTTCTCACGATATTATAGCTGTAGTACAAAATCCAGCTTACTCAACAGTTCATTATGAACATGAAAAGTATGTTGTCTTGAAAGCTGATGATTAACGAGTGATGCGCTAAATGAGATCGCACGAGAAAGAAACGGGAGATCGCTATTCACTGATTCGCCTATACATCTCATTCCGACAACGCACAATATGCGCGAAAGGCAGCTCCGCTTTAACAGCTCGCTTCTCTCCCTCTCTTTCTCACTTCGCGCAATTGCCGGTGTTGTG